AAAGCCAACACAGTGCTAGGCTGCATTAACAGAGGGATAGAATCAAGATCACGCGAAGTATTAATACCACTCTACAATGCCTTGGTAAGGCCACACTTGGAATACTGCATCCAGTTTTGGTCACCACGATGTAAAAAAGATGTTGAGACTCTAGAAAGAGTACAGAGAAGAGCAACAAAGATGATTAGGGGACTGGAGGCTAAAACATACAAGGAACGGTTGCTGGAATTGGGTATGTCTAGTTTAATTAAGAGAAGGATGAGGGGGGACATGATAGCAGTGTTCCAATATCTCAGGGGCTGCCACAAAGAAGAGGGAGTCAAGCTATTTTCCAAAGCGCCTGAAGGCAGGACAAGAAGCAACGGATGGAAACTAATCAAGGAGAGAAGCAACCTAGAACTAAGGAGAAACTTCCTGACAGTTAGAACAATTAACCAGTGGAACAATCTGCCTCCAGAAGCAGTGAATGCTCCAACATTGGAAGTTTTTAAGAAGAAACTGGACAGCCATTTGTCCGAAATGGTATAGGGTTACCTGCCTGAGCAGGGGGTTGGACTTGATGACCTCCAAGGTCCCTTCCAACTTTTTTATTATTATTATTATTATTATTATTATTATTATTATTATTATTATTATTATTATTATTATTATTATTATTATTATTATTATTATTATTATTATTATTATTATTTCATCTTTAAGGCCTTTACTTGCAAACCACGCAGTGGAGTACTTCGATGCATACAATGAAGCATTGTCCTGCATAAAAATCCTTGTCTTCTTGAAAGATGCAGACTTTTTCCTGTACCACTGCTTCAAGAAAGTGTCTTCTAAAAACTGGCAGTAGGTTTGGGACTTGATTTTGAGTCCATGTTCAACCCCAAAAGGTCCAACTAGCTCATCTTCAATAATACCAGCCCATACCAGTACCCCACCTCCACCTTGCTGGCGTCTGAGACGAAGTGGAGCTCTGTGCCCGTTACTGCTCCAGCCACGGGCCCATCATCGGGTCCGTCAAGAGTCACTCTCATCTCATCAGTCCATAAACCCTTTGAAAAATCTGTCTTCAGATATTTCTTGACCCAGTCTTGCCATTTCAACTTATGTGTCTTGTTCAGTGGTGCTCAGGTTTCAGCCTTCTTCCTTTGCTTGGCCATGTCTCTGAGCACTGAGCACCTTGTACTTCTGGGCACTATTGACTATTTGCAACAAAACGTTTGATGGTTCTGTGATCACGCCCCAATATCTTAGCAAGTTCAAGAGTGCTGCATCCCTCTGAAAGACTTTTTACAATTTTTGACTTTTCAGAGTCAGTTAAATCTCTTTTTTGGCCCATTTTGTCTGAGGAAAACAAGCTGCCTAATAATTATTCACACCTTGATATAGGGTGTTGATCTCCTTAGGCCACACCCTCCCTCATTACACAAATACACATCATCCAATATGCTTATATCCACTAAGCCAGGGGTCTTCAAACTTGGCCCTTTTATGACTTGTGGACTTCAACTCCCAGAATTCCTCAGCCAAGCACACTGGCTGAGGAATTCTGTGAGTTGAAGTCCACAAGTCATAAAAGGGTCAAGTTTGAAGACCCCTGCACTAAGCATTCAAGTTTATACAGCTCGGAGGTGGAAAATATGCATGAAAATGATATGGTCAAAATACTTACTTGCCTAATAATTGTGCACACAGTGTATATCCAATGCCTTGGAAATTTGTACCCTTTTCCTGACTGATACCTTCCAAGAATGAGACCCCTTTGATGCTTTGTAAGCTCTTTGCAGACCATGGCTTTTGCTCTAAGACAGGGGTGTCAAACTCACGTCACATGACGCGACGTATCGTGACTTTTTCCCCATTGCCGGAGCTGGGGTGGGCACGGTTTCAGCATGACGCATCCAGCCCCTGGGCCAGCAGTTTGACACCCCTGCTCTAAGAGGTAACTGGGTAAAGGTCAGAAAAATCCTATTAGAAAAGCTGAAGTTTATATGGGCTTGATCAGAATCACTTTTAATTGATGGCAGGTGTGTACTTAGTATTTAACATGTTTGTAATTGTTTAATTCTGAACACAGCTACATCCCTACTTATAAGAGGGTGTGCACACTTATGCAACCATGTTATTGTAAGTTTATTTTTATTTCCCCCCCTAAGATTTCAGTTTTTCAATTGAATTGTACAACTTTATAGGTTATATTAATGGTGGAAGAAAATCTGAAGTGATTTATCTTGGTCTGATTTTTTTACATCTCAAAAACCTGGCAATTTAACAGGGGTGTGCAGGCTTTTTATATCCATTGTACTTAATAGGTATTTAGTTTAGTAACACACTAAACTGTAAGCACAGCTGAGTAATCAAAGTGCAGTGTGCCTGGTCATGCCCTGTTGAACCCCATGCCACCAAAATGCCCTAAGTAGAAAACAGATGTCCATGATTTGTTTTATTGCATGGTCTGCAGGTACTTCTGGTCATTAGTAATCAGACAGACTATTTCTTGTTTATGGGGATGCTTTCTAGTTAGTAATACTGTAAGTTCCCTGGAGGTGACCCAGTAACCTTGTTTGCTGGGAAACAGCGGGTGGAAGAGTTTGCACATTAATATACATGGCAAGGTTATGCTTATTCAGTAATCCTTATATAACTAGTGCTTGGTATATTAGACAAAATGACTGGTTTTATTTAGAAGCAGCATACCCAGATTGTGTGTATTGTTGCATCAAAGAAGCAATCCTCTGCACCAGCTGAGCTGTTGGAATAGGCTCATGATAAACCAAGTAGTACTGCTGAGCCAATTTACGTGCTTTATGAACAAGTACTCTGACAAAACAAAATAAGAAAAACAGATTAAAATACAGCAGGAGCAGACAATGTTTCATGATTGAGGGTTGCATTTAATGTCCATGGAGAAACTGAGGTCACAGGTAGCACAAAATATGTAAAATAAACAGGGCCATACCACAGGTAGACAACACTGGGATTTTCGGGGGGTGGGTGGGTGTTTTTTTAACTTACCGTATTTTTCGCTCTATAAGACGCACTTTTCCCCCCAAAAAAGATGGGGGAAAATGTCTGTGCGTCTTATGGAGCGAATGCCGCCT